TGTAATAGTGATTGGGCTAGAAGTATTGACGATATGAGGAGCACTTCGGGCTATGTTTTCTCACTTGGTTCTGGTGTATTTTCATGGGTGTCAAAGAAGCAAAAAAGTGTGACATAATCATCAGTTGAAACTGAATATGTTTTAACATCATTGGCTACTTCTCAAGTAATTTGGTTAAGAAGAATCTTAGAAGATATTGGTGAAAAGTAAGGTGAATCAACTCCAATCTTGTGTGATAATAAATCAGATATCGNTGTTTTAACATCATTGGCTACTTCTCAAGTAATTTGGTTAAGAAGAATCTTAGAAGACATTGGTGAAAAGTAAGGTGAATCAACTCCAATCTTGTGTGATAATAAATCAGATATCACCATAACAAAGAATCTCGTCTACCATAGCCGAACTAAGCATATTGTAATCAAACATTACTTTACTCGAGAAGCCGTGGAAGATGAAGAGATTAAAGTCAAATATTGAAAGACCGAAGATCAAGTAGTGAATATTTTTACCAAAGCACTTTCTAAAGAAAAGTTCGAGTTTCTAAGAGACATTTTGGGAATTCAACAACAAAGTATTAAAAGAGAACATACTAAATAATTCTTGGTTGTTAAGTGTATTTAGTTGACTTGAGAATATAAATGGTTGAGTCTTGAGACTTATTACATGGTTAATGTTCTAGACAAGTAAGTGGTCAAGATGTATCTTACAACCTATATGTATGTTGAAATTATGGAATACATGTATAAAAAATTATTCCAAAATACTAAGTTACATTGTTTTTATTTTTTCTATGACAAATAGATAAAAAGTTGAAATTATAGCCAACATAAAATCCTCAACCATTGATTGAAAAAATGACAAAGAAATAATAAATAATAAATTATAAAACTTTTGCACATGACACCTTTTTATTGGATAAAATGTGAAAGTATGATACTAAAAAAATAGCATTTCATCACAGTAAGGAGATTCTCATTCTATATGGTTTGTCCCACTATAAAAGCTTCACAAAGTTGGGATTTTAATTTCAGACATGTTGTTCTATTTTAGCCATATTTGAAAGCTTCAATAATAAGTTCACTGAATAATTGGTAAACTTACTAATGGAGATGTTTGTTTAGACAGACTCCACACTTTAGCAATCCCAAGCTTTGGGCAACAGTAAAGAGAACCCACTGCATTGTTAAATTTATGCAGAATTTGCGTTGAGCTTTTTAGTTTTATCTTTGTTATGCTAAAGCAAACAGGACAAAGACATGAAAAGGCTTAAGACAAGTGGCAGGTTTTCTGCTAAATTTGTCAGCCATGGGCAGGCAGAAACCATTTTATACAAATATCATAAGCAACCTCTTGTCCTTATGCTAAAACTTATGTACTGAACCGGGCCATGGAAGGCCAGCTTAAGGGTGCAACTTCACTAATTAAGTTCAGGAATTATGGAGATAGTGGTATTGCTTTTCAGTATTTTGGGGTACTACTTTCGAATTCAATACTCTCTCTCTTTCTCTCTCTCACACACACATAACTTGGGGTTGAGTTACTTAGGGTCACCTGAGATCATTGTAAATCTAGGGTAAACTTTTTTTTGTACAACAGAGTTAGGTACACTTTATCCCAACACTGTGGCACTAGTTTCAAATTACTCCCTAGATTATACCTTTCTTAACAATGCCCTTTCAACTATTTTAATTGATTGCACATTGTGCGACGTTGAAACGGTTATTTAGTTTTACTTTATCATCACACGAGGCAATTTTCCATCCAAAATCTGACAGTCATCTAGTTTTTAGGCAGTGAGAAACTTGTTTGGTATAGTAGAAGGGATAATGTAAGAAAAATAAATAGTGGCACTAAAGGTGCTATGAATGAGCTATATGTTAACTAAGGCAAATCAATAGGGTTACTTTATAGCATTATGTATTAAGTTGAAACAAATAACAATATATTAATATCGGCGCCTCCTTTAGCACCAAAGCTTAAGTGGTAGCGTTTCAAGAATCACTGCTGATAATCAAAAGTTGAATTTAGTGGATGATGATAATTGGAAAAATTGACAAGAAATGTACTGAAATGGACCGATTCTTGTCCATTGCAGTTTCTTAAGATTCTTCAATCACTAGAAAGGAATGCCAAACACGGATTGAAAATGTAATCAAAAGATCAGTCAATACCGATACATCTAGGGTGAGTTTGTATTTAGAATAACCCGTTCTATTTTGAGGCTGTTATACATTATGTGCAAATCACGAGTCTCATTTAATTTATGATTGACTTGGAGACGTATCAACTGACTTAGTCAAGCCTCTCAGTCAAAGTCATTGAATTGCACAGTGTTTTGCCTGACACCATCCTATGACATTGAAATGTGGCATACATCTCCTACCATATCCAATTTCTTCGTTTATATTGCATTTCGAGTGTATTGGTCGATACCATTAGTAATGTTACAACTAATGTGTCTCAATGCTCGGCAAATCAATTGTCCATACCACGACTTCAACCACAATTGTAACATAGACAACTCCAAACAAACAATACAATCTAATCAGCCTGACCAATTATTGTCTGTTACCCTAATCTTTTTGTATTCTAACATAAAGTATCTTAGGTGTGAACTTGATGCAATTGACCTATGCTTCTTTTCAATATGGTGCTTGATTTTATATCATATAAAGTTAAATATTGCACCTATGTCATTTTGCTATACATTTGTGGCCTTACTTGCAATAAAGAATTAGGGTTGTCGTGTTGACCTCAATCAGTATCCATGTTTTTGAAGCATTATAAATCTAGGGTTCTTGCCATTTCTAACGAAGGTGAGACATCTTTCTTAATTTCTGCAAATTCCTTTAAAGTTTTGAAACACATATTTGTTAATCATGGAATTAGAACTATCATTGATGGAAACTGTAGGGCCATGTCCACAGCCTAATAGGCAAACTATTGAGCTATCTGGCCTTGACAGGCTATCACCAGCAATTCTCTATACTATCTTCTTCTATGAGTATCATTTTAGCACCGAGTCATATTCTGAGGCAGAAGTTGTTGTTGAGAGAGCCAAGAAAGCTCTGGAGAAGGTACTCATTTCATGGTTTCCGACTGCTGGAAGGTTTAGAATCAACAAAACGACAGGAAAGCTCGAGATCGACTGCAACAACGAAGGAGTCACCATGATAACTGCAGCAACCAATTCCAAGCTTGAGGAGCTCGGTAGGTTAAACGAATACAAGCCATGCTATGAAAAGCTGGTTTCGCAGCTTCCTAAAGCTGATGATATTTCAAAAATTCCACTAGTTGTTGTGCAGGTTCGAATTCTCTTATATACAAAAGAACTGTATTCATCTTCTTGATGATCAATTATGTCATAATGATTTTTCCTTGGGAATTTGAAGTTGAAACCTACAATATATTGTCTTGAAGAAACGGAGATTTATGCTTTCTTGATAGGTTTGAACCTTGTGACCAGTATGACTAATCATCGATATGATGTTCGTTGTGCAGGTTTTAGGTTTATCTTATTAAGACAAGTTCGATAAATATTATTTCCTGTGATATTTGGAGTCAGAAACTTCTAGAAAAACTCTTTTCTTATCGTGGAAAAATACTAGGATGGTTGTCCTTCAACAACACAATGGAAAAATGTCTAAGTTTTCCTAAAACTTCATTTGTACTTCAAGAGTTAGGCCCTTTTGAGATGGTGTTTGAGTTTAGATCATGAATCTTGGGTTATCCTTTGATTTTGCTGGTTGAAGAAAAAGGTAACCTCTTATCATCGACAAAACATAACTTTCTGTTCTTCTTATAGGTTTTAGCATTGTTCAAGGTGACCATCTTATTAGTTTTAACTTAAGTCATCAAATTTAAAACCCTAGGTTTTATATATTTCATTTACTTATTTTTGATAGAGTTCATTGTTATCCTTCTCTTCATTGATTCACCTCCTCTTTATCAATAACTACCAGCTAATTATGCACCTGAGGATTTATTACATCGTTTGTTTCTTGGTAATTCTTGGTTTTGTAAAAGAGTAACTCTAATAGTCAGTTCAATTTTTCTTTTCCTCGTATTTCTACCTTATTTACCTCAATCAAAATCAAGTTGCAGCTTCGGGCACAAAGAGGGAAAGTAAGCTTATAACATATTAATATCAGTACTTCATGGTGACCATTAAAACATAAAAAACATTGCGTTGTATGGATTGTTACGATTTTGCATAATTTAATGAAATGGATTTAAAGCTCAAAATGCTATAAGAATCTAATTGGAGATTTAGTTAGGGATCTAATGATATAGGAATCTAATTTGGGGATTTAGTCAGGAACTTAATTCATTGCAATCATTAGAGTCATTAGATTAGCGGTATAGTTTAAATGTTTGATATATAGAATACACTTTCAATCTGACAACTACAACTAATTAGGTCCCTTGATTACGTTCAAATAACATTTTCTTTTGGAGGATTATAGAATATAAAGAGATCGAAAGAGGGTTTGTCTACATATCTCTCTATCTCTCTCCCCATTCTTTTCTCACTAATTCTTTTTTGCAGATAACAAAGTTTGCTTGTGTAGGGATTTTGGTCGGTTTTGGTAGTAGCCATGCTTTGTTTGATGGTCAAGGAGCATTCAACTTTCTTGCATCTTGGTCTCATAAATCAAGTGGAAAAGATGCATCAGATCTTCCTTTACCCAACCATTCAAGGAATGTACTCCTGCAGCCTATCTATTTATCTGATTCAAGCTCTACATATGCTTCAATAAATGAACAAGACCATATAGTGCCATTCAAGATCTATACACCATACCTATGCAAGCCATGGCATCTGATGATAGATGTTGGGAAAGTGCTCTTGCAAAATTCAGCCAAATTGATCGAAAAGGCAGACTCAAACTCCTTACTGTGTGCATTAGGAAGGAAGTTGTCGAGACATGGAAGGGACTAGTAATTGAAAGAGGCAAGGTCTCAAAGTGCACTACCTTTGATGTTCTATGTGCACATATATGGAAGGTAAATGACGATTACCTAGTTTTTATCTTCTGCAATACTTTGTATATGTGGGTTAATGTGCTAATGCAATATTGTGACCATATATTCTAGTAACCTCTCGGAATGTGAAAGGGTTAATTAACTAGTTTCTCTTCTTATAAGAGTATTTTCCCTAAACTAGGTAGTTTGTTTCCTTCAGTATACATTTCGCTTGCGAGGAAACCTCCATGAGCTTTCATACATGCCTTGAACTATATTCTATATCTAGTTTTTTCAGCAAAGAAATCTTTTTATCGAAGCAAACATTATACTTTCATGCTAGATCTACCAACCAGTTTAATTCTAGTCCAAAAGCAAATATTAAAGCAAAAAGATAGTTTCAGTAAGTGATGAGTGGGATTCGATCTTCTTAGTATATTTTTATTGTTTTTTTAACATAGTTTCCATTATTCAGGTAAGAGTGCAGGCCTTTGTATCCCACTGGGCACAAATATATGTTTGCAATTCCCAGTCGATTCCCGGAGGAGGATTCAACCCCCACTTGGAGAAAAATTCACTGGCAACGCCTTTGTTCTTGCTTCGGTGTCATGTTTAGCCAAAGACCTACTAGAAGAACCTCTTCACACCACTATTTTGAAGATTCAGGCGGCAAAAGCTGTAATCATAGATGAATATATTAAACTATATGCAAAGGCACTTGAGTCTACGGATAAGTTCTTCCCATCTATGCGAGAATTGACAATAGTAACAGACTGGTTGAAATTTCCCTTCCATGCACTTAATTTTGGATGGGGAAAGGTTTCTAGTGCAGCTCTTTTGGCAACTCCGGTACCGAAAACTGCTTTTCTGATGTTAAACCTGGAAGAACCTGATGGTTACTTGGTAAGAATGGGAATTGGAGCACAACATGCGCATAGTTTCATGACATTCTTCAAAAACTCCAGCTACTAAAGGCCGTACAAGTCCTACAGTAATTATCTTCACAATATTAGGATTGCTTTCTTTTTTAAGCTATTATGTATGAATGAAGAAATTAAACAGTCGATGAATAAAAAATTGTTATGTGTAGATACAAGGGGTTTGTGAAATGTTGGATAAATATGTAACCTATGTAATGTAATCGCTTTAATTTTTGTGGAAAACAAGGTTGCGTGTTGATATGATTTGGCATTCTATTTTGCACTTGTTTTTGGCCTTAGTCATTTGATTGTGATTAGTTAGTTATAAGTATCCATAGTATAGGTGTATACATGTTCATTTTCTTCGGTCTATGAAACACAGACACTCAAATTTCACTTATATATCCGTGTCTGACACGTATGAGATATGGCTAAGTGTGTGGTAGAGAGGATTGCCCTCTAGGTAGCGCTCCGGCTGCTCAAGAGGTCTTGAGATAGCTCGAGCAGTCTTGATGTAGCTCGGATTCCAAATTTCATTCTATTAACCACCGCTTTCCGATTGTTTGAGTGATCGTTCACGAATTTGTGTTTTCGTGGACTCCAAGACAAACTCTATTTCGACCCTATAAAATAGAGAGATGTCTTTCCAACCTAGGCTACCATCTTGCAATTCCTATCCAATCTCACACATTGGAGAAAAAGAGCTTAGTTGGTTGAATCAAACCCATTGGAAGTGTGCACACCGGGGACCTTGGTAGATAAGATCGCTCAAGGCCTACACAAACTGTGCATGAGGCGGGGAGTTCAAGTGAAGCTCTCCATAACGTCGAAAATGGACTTTCGACGAAGAGGTTTATTGAAAGAAATGAAACCATTGTATTGGTTGAGACATAAGATTTGAGTACTTATAAACTGACTTTGGGATAGTGGCTATAGTAGGCTTTGGTGAACTCTAGAGAGGTTCCCGCGATTTTTTCCTAGAAGGGTTTTCTGCGTCAATAAATTATTTGTGTTCTTTATCATTTTTGTATATAGGATAGTTGCCAGAGTAGGCTTTGGTGAACTGTAGAGAGGTTTTCGCAATTTTTTCCAAGAAGCATTTTCTGCGTCAAGAAATTTGCGTTTTTTATCGTTTTTGCATATACACTTGCAACTTGAGTACACATATACACTATGTGTTTGATGAATTGATTGATTAAATATTCATATTAGACATAATTTTTTGTTTGGGTTTGTTGCCATTGGGTTGTGATCACCATAGTTTTATGGAACTATCCAAAAACACTGAGGAGAGGTCTAAGAGAGATAGGAGAGAGAAAGAGAACCTAGAACTACCTCTTCAAATCAAAGGATTTTTAGCTTGTGTTTTTGACTAGAGATATAGGTAAATTGTTGTTCTATCAAAAGCCTAATAATATAGTGTTGTGTGAAAACTAGTCAACCGTTTATCAACCTGGGCTGAAACTTTGAGATTGTAGAAGCTTCCTTTTGATGGATAAGAGAGTGATTCTTCTCTTTCCCTCCGGAGCCCTTGATCACCCAAACCCCCTATCCTTGCCACTTCTTCATTTTTCTTTTCTTCTCTATCACCATGACCGTTAACCCTGTCTTGTGCCATTCTCTCTCTCTCTCTCTCTCTCTCTATAAAGTTAGATCACCAAACCTCTTCCCACTTGTCCCTGCTTCCTTTCCATCTCCTCTGTCACCATAGTTGTGACTTTTACCCAGATTTGACGCCTCTGGATCTTGGTCATCCCTACCTTTATTTCTTTAACCCTCACCCATGAGAGAGTTTGAAAAACCACCACACTTTTTAGTGGTGAGTCAATTTCATATATATATGCACAGTTATATATCTGTATATGAAAATTACAAGTATGGAAATAATCAATCAAATAAATCTAGAGGCTACAATTATGGGGCAAAGAGAGTGAAAATGGGAAGCCTTGAATTAAGGCTGAGGATCTTTAGCATGATCCTCGACAACCCCTTGCAAGCTGAGTGTCGGATTTGAGCAGACGTGAAGCTTGGATCGAAAGATTTGAAAGAGTGGTTTTGACACACTTTTGGTGAAGATGTCGACAACTTGCAAATGAGAAGGCACATACTGAGTGCGAAGCTTGCTAGCGAGAACAAGTTCACGAAGAAAGTGATAGACGAGCTCAACATTCTTAGCCCAGCTGTGAGAAACAGGATTGGAGCTCAAGAAGATGGCACTCTTGTTATCACATAAGAGGAGGGGCAGTTGTGGAATTGAAACTTTGAGGTCACTGAGGAGATGCGTGAGCCAAAGAAGTTCAGCGGCAGTAAGCGCCAAAACACGATACTCAGATTCACAATTGAAACGAGAAACAATAGGTTGCTTCTTGGCACTCCAAGAAACCAAGTTTCCGCCAAGATAAATAGAGTAACCAGAGGTGGAGCGACGAGTATCAGGGCAACCTGCCCAATCTACATCTGAGTAAGCAACTAAAGCACCAGGAGCAGCAGATGGATGAAAAGTGAGGCCAAAGTATAGCGTGCCTTTAACATAGCGAAGAATGCGTTTGACAACAAGAAAGTGGTCTTCAGTTGGGGAGTGGAGAAATTGACTGACAGAGTTGACAGCATAAGCAATATCCAGACGGGTGATGGTCAGATACTGGAGAGCACCAACAAGAGATTTGTAAAGTGTAGGATCTGAGAACAAAGGACCATTAGTAGACAGGTGCTGGGAAACAACCATGGGGGTGTGAACAAGTTTGCTGTNGATGACATCATAAGCAATATCCAGACGGGTGATGGTCAGATACTGGAGAGCACCAACAAGAGATTTGTAAAGTGTAGGATCTGAGAACAAAGGACCATTAGTAGACAGGTGCTGGGAAACAACCATGGGGGTGTGAACAAGTTTGCTGTCAAGTAGTTGAGCGCGTGTGAGAATATCCCGTGCATATTTCAGCTGACTGATGAAGAGGACATCAGAGGTGGTCGTTGCTTCAAGACCAAGGAAGTAACTCAGAGGATCCAAATCCTTACTAGCAAACTCAGAGTTGAGTTTGCAAGTGAAGCTGTCAAGAAGAGATGGGTCGTTGCCTGTAATAACGATGTCATCAACATAGAGAAGCAGATAGATTCTATCAGAGTGCTTATGAAAAACAAATAGTGATGTGTCTGCATGACTACAATAAAAATGAAGTTGAATTAGAAAAGAGCTAAGGCGCTGGAACCAGGCACGAGGAGCTTGCTTTAGACCGTAGAGGGCTTTCTGTAGCTGATAGACATGATTGGGAAAACGAGGGTCAATGTACCCAGGGGGTTGCTCCATATAAACATGTTCATTGAGATGACCATTGAGAAACACATTTTTGACATCAAGTTGACGAAGGGGCCATTTGTTGGTTACAACAAGAGATAGGACAACACGGACTGTGGTAGCCTTGATGATAGGACTAAAAGTGTCAGTGTAGTCAATACCAGGTACCTGGGTGTAGCCCTTGGCAACAAGACGGGCTTTGAGATGTTCAATAGATTTGTTGGGCAAATATTTGGTTCGAAACACCCATTTGGAACCCATAATGTTGGTGTTGGTGGGTCGAGGAACCAAAATCCAGGTACAATTGTTTTGCAGGGCTTGAACTTCTTCATCCATGGCAGCAAGCCAAACATGATTCTTAGCAACAGATTTGAATCCTTTAGGCTCAATGGATGCAAAAAGAGCTGAAAGAAGTCCAGAGGAACCCACAAGTCTGAGATGTGCTGGATGGTGCGTTTTGAAAATGCCAGCTTTGGCCCGTGTGAGCATAGGATGAGAACCCAATGGAGCGACTGCAATAGGAGTGTGATCAACTATGGGTAACTCAGTAATGAGCTCCGGAGAAGCAGGTCTGAAGTCTAAGTGTGACGAAGATGGTCCTATAGGAGCATCAGTTGCCTACAAAGACTCATCTATTGGATCAGTACAAATAATACACGAGGTGGATCCAGATTGGGAAATATGTTAGGAGTGTGGTGCAGAGGGAGACAGGGGCATGTCTGTGAGAGGGAGACTTGGTTCTAGAAAATTTGAGATTTGGAGAGAGGGTATGGGTTGGGCTTGAGAAGTATGTTGAAAAGAAAGTGGTTTTCGTCAAATTGGGCATGACGGGTAATATAGAGTCTGTAGGTGGTGGGGTCAAGTCAACGAAAACCTTTATAAGATGAATGATAACCCATAAAAATGCAAGGGATGCTACGAGGGAAAAATTTATTAGTCATGTAATCTCGTAAACAAGGATAAACATGACAACCAAATGGATGAAAGTTTTCGTAATTGAGAGAGGAAACATATAGGAGTTGAAAAGGTGACTTACCTCCGAGAAGCGGTGTAGGCAAACGATTGATGATGTAAGCCGCAGTGCTAAAAGCATCAACCCAGAAGTGAGTGGGAATGTGAGAATGAAAAAGGAGGGCTAGACCTGTTTCAGTCACATGGCGGTGTTTCCTCTCGGCATGACCATTTTGTGCAGATGTATAAAGATAAGAGAGTTGATGATGAATGCCAAAGGTACTAAGGTGTGCTTTAAAGTAGTTCTTGGTGAATTCACCACCACCGTCACTTTGAAATTTTTTTATACAAGTAGAGTGTTGATTTTCAACAATTTTTTGAAATTGAATAAAAGTATTAAAAAAAGTTAGATTTCAATTTTAATGGATAAAGCCAAGTGAAACGAGAATAATCGTCAATAAATAAAGCATAGTATGTGAATCCTGAAATTGACTTTACAAGAGATGGGCCCCATAGATCACAATGAATAAGATCTAAAACCTTTGAAGAGCGATGTTCAACACGAGAATAGGGCAAATGGTGATTCTTTGCAATTTAACATGTACTACATGACATAGGAGATGGCACCAAGGAGGTAAGATAAAGCAGTCCTTTTTTATTAAGAAAAGAAATAACAGAATGATTTACATGTCCAAGGCGAGCATGCCATAAATCATATGAAGCATGAAGAGATTTATTTTTCAAAATAGAAACAAAAGTCGAATTTCACCCTTCTAGCACATATAGGCCGCCATCTCGTTTACCGG